GTGTGTATGTGCAAAAACATAAAAAAGTTACCACATAGGTAAAAACTTACCTGTGTCTCCACCGCTCTCTCCAGTCTGAAGATTCTTGAGCGGTCGTGAAGGACCATTAAATTGGCGCATGCGCAGTAGAGATCTTCGGCTAGAGACACAGTGTAAGTCAATGCAGGCAGCGTGCATGTGGACAGACACCATGGGATACAGAGACTGGCACCAGCGCTGGAGGGACTCCTGAAATCTTTTGAAAAGATCGGATAAAGAGGCATCATTTAAGGTAAGTCCTTAAAGCAGCTTAGGGGGGAATGTGACTTTAATGTCCCTTTAAATGGAAACGCATGATGCACATTTTTTTGTGTGATTTTTTTTTTTGCACCTAGCAACCAATTCCTTCTCTTAGCATTCCACTGGCTAAAACAAAAGCATTCAAGCCTTAAAACATTTAATTTAAATGCCTACAAAGACTCATGCTCAAGTGTGAATAGGGGGCTCTTCATGAACCATAACTAGTATAACATATTTATTTACAGTATGTTATCCATAGTGTAATCACCATATGAAAAGCCTAATTTATTATATTTTTAGCAATTTATCTTTGATATTAAAGTGGATTTTTACCCCCTTTGACTAAAAATCACATCAGCATTCAGTTCTGCATGCTGATATGTAATCATCTTACATTCATTAGTTATTTTAGCTTAACAAACATTTTTATTTACTTGCAGTTTCTTTTTTTCCACTTCCTGGTCCACTTCTGGCACAAATTATGTAATGTGCCTAAGGCCCCATTCACACTGAGCGATTTATGGAGCGATTTTTGCAGGGATATCGCTCATATTTCCACGCGATATCGCTTTATGTAGCTTCTCCAATCCATTTCAATGTAGCTGTTCACATCTCGTCGCTCAATATCGCTTGTAGCTCGTCGCTGGTAGCTTGTCGCTCCTACATGACCCTTTTTTTGAGCGATATTGCTTCTGATTGCATACAGCCCAATAGGAAAAAGTCGCGCAATATCGCTCAAAGTCGCGCAATTTTCATGTCGCTCAGTGTGAATGGGGCCTAAGCGTTGCATCCTGGGAAGGATTACATCCGGAGAGCATTGCTGGCAAAATCTCATCAATAATCTCATGAGTTCTCAGTGAGATGCATTTTCCTCACCTGAGGTGATGTGCAGGTCCTAGTCACATTTCTAGTCACGTGCCAGAAATCAACAAAGTAATATCAGGGCTAGTAATTTGCCCTTAGTTAAAATGGCCACTGTCAGAAGAGTGGGAAAGAAAAGAGAAATAAGGTATGCAAAAATAAAAAGCCTGCAATTATCTAGAAGTATGTGTTTGTAGATTGTCATTACTAAACATTTCTAAAAGTGCCGATGTTGCTATTTTGAAGATATGGGTAAAGTTTCTCTTAAAGACTATCAATGTATGTTGCTTGTACATATTAAAGTGTTCCCTCATTCCAGCTTATGCTGGTCTCCTATGCTCTGGTCTCCTATGGAGCCCCGCTGTAGCCACCCTTATGTGCATAGGGTATGTGGGCACAGGCAGTATCCTCACATCAACAAAAACAATTATAAAAGTCGGACACACAATATGCCCTGCCACTATTCATGATGGGACATGTAGTCCTGATGATTGTAAGGAATAAATGATACTGATTTGATTAGTGTGCACTCTCCAGCAGAAAGTTCGGGAAACAGGTAAGGTGGGTGTGGGTGCAATATCAGTTAAGTCAGTTTTTATCAACTATGAAGGAAGCAGTTGTACTGTGCAAAATAATTATTACTGATATGTTGGTGTTAAAAAAAAGGTACTTTTAGGTATACATGCACTTTAAAACAAAGTGCACTTATTCATTTGGACCCTTTTAAGGCGGACCTTTACCCATATCTTTTATAATAACAACAAAGGCACCTTTTAGAAATGTTTAGTAATGACAATCTACAAACAGATACTTCTAGATAATTGCTGGCTTTGTATTCTTTGCATATCTTATTTCCCTTTTCTTCCCCAGGCCTCTGACAGTGGCCATGTTTTCTAAGGGCAGACGACTACCTCTCATATTACTTCCTGAAAAAATTTGACTAGGACATGTGACCATGCACATCATTACAGGCGGGGAAAATGCCTTTCCCTGAGATGAGATTTCCCAGCAATGCTCTGCTGATGACAAGGCAATCCCAGTGTGCATTATGTTGGCAAACTGAAGTCATTTTGCCCTTTCAAAGCAGGAAGTGAATGCTCTGCAAGTGTAAGTATTTTAGAATCGCAGCATTTTACACCTGACATGTCTATGTTATTATTAATCATCATACATAGGTAGAATACACCATACCATACATAGGGATGCAATGGTAGAATTTGATTTTAGAGTATAAAGGTCAGCTTTAAGTTGACCCAACCGATTCCTCCCTCTGAACATATGAAAGCTTGTGCATTGCGGTGTTTACTTTTTCTTTAAAACTTTATTGAAATGTCACAAATGACATTTCATTCACTTCTACAGCCACAGCGTTGTGTGATGAGGTTGCACCTTGTCACACCACACTGCACTTTAAAATGTTCTGCATGCAACACAGTGGTGTGAACTGAGAGATTTCAAAACAAGGCAATTACCTTGCTAGTGCATTTGGGCTGCGCTGGAAAAAAAAGGCCAGAGCAGTCCCAACACGTATGGTGTGAATCGACTCTTAAAACCATTAATATGTTTTGTGCTTTGCTTGCCTTGGGACTCTATGTAAGCAACACTCCATTCATTCTAATAAATGGGGAGGAGGAGAGACAGCACTATTCTGTCTGCTAGTGTTCAGTGCAGTTTTGTGCACAACATACCGCAGGAATTTGAAGGCTTCACAGTGAATTCTATGAATAAAATATAAAATGCCAGCAGAATGTGGAATATTTTAACGTTTGCACTGTGCTATGCTGAGAAGAAAAGCCACATTAGGTTACAAATAGACCCCATAGTCTTACACTATGATTTCTAAACCTTCTCTGTCAGCCTGTCAGGGATTTAAATTAGAATAACATTTCTGCCTTTGGCAGATAGTTAGGAATTTAGGTTATACCCTTTATTCCCTAACTAACAGCTAAATTCCGGGCTAAAGCCATGTTGACTACTTGTATTGCAGCGTCAAGCTTTGTAAGTAGGGCAGTTCTGTTGGAAGCTATGTGATGGTGTCCACAGAGGAGTTCTGTACCTGATGTCACATAGTGACGGCTCTTTTGACATGTAGTTCTGCATGGCACGCCTACATCACTAGGATGTGACAGTGTGCACTGCAGAACCCTCCTTCCAACCCCCGGGGTGGGGGGTCACTGTAACTTGGGGCATTGTGATGACAATGGAAAGAAATGCTTGCATCACTGGAAAATGCAAGCTTGAGCTGGTCAATAACGGCTATCACTTAAATTCCAAACATTTTGCTACAGTTGATGGCTATTACGGTACAGCATTGTGAATGCAAATTACTTTCAAATACCTAATTAGTGTTTTTAACAAATAGTTCATTTTTCAAACAGCAAGTTCTCCCCTAAATATTTTCTTTGTATTTGTGCAGGAAAACATTGCTGATCATATATAGCCATATTTTAATAACGGACTGAAGTGTTTATTGAAAATGGCATCTTCAAGTCGGAGCCAGGTGTTAAATCTGTACAAAATAATGTTAAGAGAAAGTCAGAACTTCGGTTCCTACAACTACAGGTAAGTTATATTGAATGTATTTTACAGATCAGCTCAGATCATGATTCAATTTAGGGGTGCTCAGTAAAGCCTCATGCAGACGGAGTGCATTCTCCACCGCCCTCTGAAAAGCGATTCACGTGCTGAAGCAGCAGCTGGCCACCGTTTACAAGGCGATACTGCAACCTCCTGAATGCAGGGTTTTCTTTTTAATAGAAAATCCCATTGGGATTAAAAAAAGTTTTACACCGCAACATTTTTCATTTCAATTGTCACGTTTGACAAACGGCACCACCTACCCTTGGCTTTTTTGGAGGTTTCCCTCATCTCAGCATATTTCTTGGATCCTAAAAAAATGGCCAGTGTAAAAGATTACCTTGCTTCTCATCCCTTCATTAGGTCTGATAAGACACTGGATCTTGGCCCTTTTAGCTGTAGCCAGAAGTGCTGCTTTGGCCATATCTGATCAATTACCCTCAAATCAAGACTTTCCTGTAGCAGCATGGTTACTGAAGATCAGCTCTTGAGGAGTAAAAGTTTGTCATGTGAATCCATTCAGAATTTTGCTGTCAGGTTATACAAAGGTTACCTGGGAAATGTGTTAGAAAATTTGGAGAGTGTTACCCTTTTGGTCATTTAGGAATAAAAGATCTAACCCAGACATTGCAAAATTTTTTTTTTGTCGGTGTTTCAAGATCTAGACCCATTAGTGGGATTTGTCTAGTTTGTAAAGGACTTGCAAAGTTTCACTTTCAGCATGTTGAGTGAGCCTCGTCCGCCAGTATCACATTCAAGTTGGTCCTTCTGGTTGTGTTCACTTTAAAATACAGAGTCAGTATGATTCAGGCTCTCCCTGGTCATTGTTTCATCTTGCGGTGAAGGCGGGGGGGGGGGGGGTGGAGGGGGAGGATGGGAAAGC